TAAAGCATTCCCATTGTGACCAGAAGCCTTGGTGACTGGATTCAGTTTCTTGGGCTCCCACAATGTTTCCTCACAGCACATATCTCTGTTTCTGCATCTCGCTGAGCAGAGAACAGCCAGACCACAAAGAGAAAAATCCATAGACAGTAACAGCAGCTCCAGTTAACATGTCTGTCTGATAAAGCTGACTTTGATGACAATGATAGTCCCGACGCCAACCTAAAAGTGGCCCGGCCCGGGGCTTACAGCCAGCCAGTGGGAGTTATTGTCTGCTGAATTAAAGTCGCTCCATAATCCAAGCACGAGGAAGCTTTCGATTTAACTTCTCTTTTTTTTTCCACTCCACAGCTGAATGTAAGGAGGCAGGAATGGCCTAAAATAAAGAATTTGATCCAGAGTTTCACTTACACTGAAGCATAGTTTAAACACAGGTGCATTCATTGCTCCCAACCCCCCCCCCACCCCACTACTAGCCTCCAAAGCCGGAGCCTATCAATTTGTTGGTAGAGCCTAACAGCTGGATGGAAATCTAACCCCTGGCAAAGGATTACAGAAAACTCCACTCCTCCCCTTGAGTGCTTCACCTAAAAAGACTGGCAATGTTTTTCTATTCTTTTCTTTCAGCCAAAATTTCCTAGTAATGGGTGCATCTCTGCTCCCCGCTCTGGATTTGGACAGATCAAGTGTAATGGGGGTGGCCATGGAGCCTGGTAGGGAGATGTTAGCACGGAGGGGAAGCTGTTGTTTGTCCGCCTGTCCCTGACACTCGGCCTCCCATTCATTTCACTCCAAGGCTGCAGAGCTGTGTTTACCCCGGGGCCAGCTTTATTCTGCTTCTCCCCCCGTACCTTTCATGCCGTCTTTAAAAGCACTACTGGATGATCATCAAGGATCGCCATTGAAACTTTCAAGTCCTTGTTTTTGTGTACTTAGTGGTAATTATTCAGTCCCACTCCTGAGTGCTCGGAACTCATTGAAGATTTGTGCTTTCGCCTGTTCAGCATGAAATTTTGGAAGAACCTTTGACGAATTGTGTTTAATGACTGTTTATTTTAGTCCTCCATGAATGGCCTTTTAGTCCCTAATGTACACCAATCAACCGTGACCCCTGTACGGGGATACCACTCTCCTTGTGAGCAGCTTTCGGAGCATTGCGTTAGACGGTTTTAGAAGAGCTAAAACGCACGTGAAAGAGCCTGAGGTGTTCCCCTGACCTCTAAACCCTCCAGATACTGATCTGATGGGACCTGATAGCATCTGCGGGAAGCAAGCTCAACGCGTGATGACTGGTCAGAGCTTCTTTTGTGGTCAGGCAGGTGGTCATAAAGTAATGGCCGATGGGCATATATATATATGGTATATACTAGGATAACTTTTTTGCTGTTTGTTTTTATAAATGTCTGCTGTGTCTTCTGTGAGGGACATGAAACAGGGTGTAGACAATTATATGGAGCATTTACAGTAACATGGCTCCACTACTTACCTTTGACATCCTCATCAGAATACTTTTTTTTCTCCAAAGGTAAGAAACATAAGTAAATTCAAATACAACAAATACTGAATTTTGAGTAGTACGTCTAATTGTTTCATATTTGCTCGTATTACTTAATCCACTTACATCAGTGACCCATTTCTTTGCAGGCTTCAACTTGTAATTGAATATCTTTGTTTGGGTTCATTTTTTTTTCTTGTCTTTATCCACCATGGGCTATTTCCTTATTTTCTCATCCTTTTCATGTTAAACCTGGACCACTTGCAGCTAACATTTCTTTCCCTTTTGCAAACTCGAGTGTGTGTCTGTGTTTGCTGTCCAGCGAAGACCCATCTGTGTTTGTTGACAGATCTGATGTCCTGCTTATGATACTCAAAGTTTCCCCAATCAGGCAACGGGGAAACAGAAAAATCAACACGCTCTCATGGTTTCCATGGAGCTGGCGTCTTGTTAGTGAAGTCCAACTCTGTGTTGTTGCATTGGTTGGATGTCTGTAGTTTACATTGTGATTTTCCTGCCTCACGAGCTACGTGCAGATGGGGTTGTTCACTGTTGCTTTTCGGCTCTCAGAAGTGAAACTGTGCGCTTGTTTGGACTGTATGCATTTATTTTGAGTGTTTGATTTGTTTACTTTATCTTGATCTGGAAAAGAAAGCCTAACTGAGCATGTCCTTTTTGTACAAACACAAGCAACGGATTTCTGTAACCTAACATCGTAAGTTTGGTTACGTAAGGCATTAGGCTAGATTAAATCCTTCGTGTGTTGGGATCATTGCCTCTGGCCACAGTAACAGGAAGTGGAGCGTCCATATTGAGTTGACAACCTCTGAGACTGACACTAAGAGGAGAGGCTTTTGAGAATAAAATAACAATAATAACATGCGCTACTATTCTAATGGGTAAACGGAGCTGTTAAAAGGTGGCAGGGTTAAATGGATGCAGAGCACCAGTAATTGCTCCCAGCCGTCATTGCTCCACCCTGAGCAGACCCTTTGAAAGCCTGACATGGAGTCAAGAGATTTGGATGTCCACATTGTGGTCAGAGGGGAGGAGGACACGCCTTTACTTCACCGCCTCACGTCTCAACTTTGAGGCTCGCTTCCAGCTTCTCTCTTTGGCTGTCTCTACGTCTATAAATGCTCCTATACTACTTATTAAAGCAACACAGTGTCTTAAATCAGTTTGGAGAATAATTAATCATTTACAGGGCTTTTAGACATGGCTCTAACTTCTAACTTTGTAGAAACAAGGTCACATACCTGAGGGTGGCAGACGTGAGAGCTAATGACTGACATGAGATGAAACATCTGCAAACAACGGAAACTAAATGAAAGGTTCACTATCGGTGCACACACATTCGTCTTAAGAAATTAGAAAAGAAAATGAGAAAAGGGGGAAAAAAATTATGTTGACGGAATTGAGATGTCTTTTTGGAGCCAACAACTCGGGACATCTACCTTGCCAAAACGCACAAAGTCAGGAAAAATACAACAAACGCGCTGGCTGATTTTTAGCCAAACAGGTCAGTCCAAACCGACGTGTGCACAAAGGCACACACGTACATGCTAAAAGCAACAGAGCAACAGGAAAAGGCCTGGCTCACGCTCTGCTCATTGTCTTTCATCAGGCTTAACATAAAATACATTTCTAACCTTTGTCCCGCTCATTCCTCCTCCTGATCCTCGCAGTCTTACTGGCTATTTTTGTCTCTGCCTGTGTGTGAAAAAACTCAATACAATTTATACAATTAGCGTCGCTTTTATTCTGTTCGTTAAAAAAGCGGAGATGTTAGCCGTTTGGTCTTTGTGTCTCTGCGCAGTTTCAAAGGGAGTTTACCTTGATGTGTGGGCTCCATTTGAGACAATGGAAGGCCGTAAACGAGTTGGGGCTGAGTTCTTTGTGTGGTCGAGCCATGCTGCAGTAAAAGTTGAGCTCAGAGTGGAGGAGCTGGAGTGTGGAATTCACTAATGGCACATGCATGTTGGGGCCCCTGAAGAGAGGGGGTCATTTCAGCCATCAGTGTGTGCGCAAACACACAGAGGGCCTGTCTGCAGCTCCCCCCCCCCACCTCCACACATCGCCTCTCACTCAGTCACTCTTTTACTCCCCCTCCATAATAAAGTGCCTTCAACCAGCGGGCCGTTTTGTCTGTGCAAGTCTGGTCAACGTTTTGCTAATCTTTGTATAAACTTCAGTGGTATGGGTCACTCAGCAGAAAGGTTTAGTCGGGTGGGAGGCGAGTTTGGCATTTTGTTGCTGTGTGGATCCGCAATGCTCCACCTTAAAGGCGTTTGTTAATGGGGCGGGCGGTCATTAAGCCCTGAGAACAGAGAGACTGAAAGGAATGGGGCCACAGGCCCAGGCTTTAAATCCTCTGTGCCAATAGACTCTCTGAAGCAAAATAATGGCATCACTCTGTGTGTGAGTTAATGGGAGCTGATAGCATGAAGGCTGGGGGGTCAGCGGGTCACGGGCTTGTGCTAAGTTGTCAGGGAGCTGAATGCCGTCCCTGGGCCCACAGCAGGGGGAAAAGCTGGGTGGAGGAGGAGGGGGACCCCCTGCCTGGCCTTCTCCCGTCACCCCCACTCTTGTGGAATGTGAGGAAGACGAGAGAAGGGGAGAGAGGGGCTCCCTCGCCCGCCAGGGGTGGAGGAGCGAAGAGTGGGATGTGACATCATGGAAGTGTCTGTCCATTTCATTCTCATCTATGTCATCCAGCGGCCTCTTTCTGTCCTCGGACCACATATTTTACGAGTAGTATAACTGTAGGGCCGCTATGAGCAGCTTCTGAGAGCAGTCAACAGTGTGTGTGTGTGTGTACGTGAGTGTGTGTGTCTGCGCTACAGGGAGGATCAAGCCTACCTTGGGAGCCGTAACTCACTTTGGAGTGCTGAGAGCTGTCACTGAAAAGAGTTCACAGGCTGCAACCATGAAAACTGAATTAGGAAGCTGATTTACAGAGCAGAAATGCTCAGAAACGAGATGCCAGCTTTGTTCCACTGCAACAAGAAAAGAACTGGGGAAAATGTGCTTTGGCCGAAAATAAAGTTGTTGTTTTTTTTCCACATGTTTTTTTAATTCAGCTTCTTTGTGCAGTGCATGCAAACTAATTTGTTTTCGGTAAACACGATGCGTCTTGAAAATGCAGTAGTGAGTAGCAGTGAGCTGCTGTGCAGGCCAGTCAGTGTTTAGTCATGACACTGCCCTCTAGAGACGGAGTGAGGAAGTGCAGGTCTGCGGATGGATTGACCTCGCTACACCCTCAGGATATCTATAGTAGCTCTCGTGTGTGTGTGTGTGTGCGTGCTGGGCATGGACGTGCATGCAGCGGTATTTAGACGAGGCTTAGATTTCAATACAGTGCCCCCCTCAGTATTTATAGTGTGACCATCTGCTCTGAACAATAAAAAGAGATAGTTAATCCCTTAAAACTCAACCCTTCCTTTTTACTCACCCTGTTTACTTTTGTTTATGTTTTGTTTAATGACCGTGTCTCTGTCTCCGGCAGATGCCAGCATGTCACCTGACGCCCCGAAGCAGAGCCACTGGTGTAACGTGGCGTACTGGGAGCACCGCACTCGCGTGGGCCGCCTCTACACAGTGTACGAGCACTCTGTCAGCATCTTCTACGATCTACCTCAGGGCACGGGCTTTTGCCTGGGCCAGCTCAACCTGGATCACCGCAGCAGCACCGTTCAGCGCACACGAGGCAAAATCGGCTACGGCATCCTCCTCAGCAAAGAGCCGGATGGCGTTTGGGCTTATAACCGTAGCGAGCACCCCATATTTGTCAACTCCCCCACTTTGGACGTGCCTAACAGCAGAACTCTGGTCGTGCGAAAAGTGATGCCAGGTTACTCCATCAAGGTGTTTGATTATGAGCGCTCGTGCCTCCTGAGGCACACCACAGAGGCCGACTTCCTGGACGGACCCTATGACCCCAACAGTGTGCGCATCAGCTTTGCTAAGGGCTGGGGCCCCTGCTACTCGAGACAGTTCATCACCTCCTGCCCCTGCTGGCTGGAGATCCTCCTCAACAACCATAGATAACACAGATGGACCCCACAAACTATCCCAAATATCATCTACCTAGATTTAATATAAAGTTTTATATATTATATGAAATATATATTATACTTGTAAATACGGAGTCATTTTTACAATGTATTATTTATGTATGGTGCAATGTGTATATGGACAAGAGGAAAAAAATGGAAAATGCACTTTGGCTTATGTATTTTATATATGTATGTATGTTGTATACATATATATATACAAATATATAAAGATAAAGAATCTTTCAATACCAACTTGAGAAATTATACAGCAAAATTAGGATGAGCCTGGATTTGGTGTATAGTTTTCATATACTATTAATATCCAGACAAAAAGCTAACACCATTCACACATTGATAATAAAGTATTCGCATAATAATTCTGTTTGGTCTGCATCATTAGCTCTTTTCCTCGCATTCAATATCTTTCTACTTTTTTTTACCCCTATTTCCTTGTGTATTAATATAATCAGTCAGTCCCACCTGATTTCCCTCAAAGACCAGCCATCACATGTTCTACAACATATATTTAATTAGCAGTTGCCTCATTGCCAATTGGCAAAAATCAAGGTTTCTCTTTTGGGTTAGTTTAAAGTGCAGTAAACCTCATTTCGGAAGGTAGAACTGTATCTCAGATGGTTGTGGGCATCTAGGAGTGCATGAAAACACTTCAGACGACTGATGACATGCATGTTTTTATTGCAAACCGCATTATAAAGTTCATAATTTAAGATGGGCTAGCCCTGCTGATCCAGATGTCCTTTAGGTCCCAAGTAGCCCCGGTCGAGAGACTGCGAGGATCAGGGCACTTAAAGGCAGTGAAGGGAGAGGGATGAGGAGAAGACTCAGTCTCAGCATTCTGACCATACTTCCAGAGATGTTCCTTGCCTGAGCTCGGTTTTGTAAACAGGATCATTTCGTTATGGACTTTGTTCTAACTGAGAAGGATGCAGCACCCTGAAACCAACGCAGTGATTCTGGAATGTGTGCAGAGAAACCAGGAAGTTTTACAAGCCTGCTGGAATCTTAAAAACTGCAGCCAAACTGGATGTGGTTTCGCTGGCTTCCTTCATAATTGCTGGTGTTGGGTTGTCAGGTTGGCGGCGATGGTAGCAAGAGGAGGGGTGCAGAGGTCTTTGCCAGCATTCAGCAAAAAAGGCACACAGTGACACTGTTCCCAACCAGTACTAAACCTGTCAGTTTAAAGTAAATATGTGTGTGTGTACATATATATATATATATATATATATATATCTGTGTGTGTGTGTTTCAATAGGGCTTTCATACATCATAATGATTAAGACAGGGAATGACAGAGGAAAGAGCTCCTCTTTCATGATAGTTTATCATCTTTTTGTGGGAAACACTCCTTTCAGATTACGAGTGCTGCTGAGTGTAGTTTTTCTGTCCCTCGCTTCTTCCATAAAGGCTCAGACAGCCTCCTTCAGGCCTGCTGTCTGTCTGGAGCCAAGAATATGAAGAGTTCAAACAGCAGAGAGGAGTGGCTCCACTCCGCCTCTGTCTCTGCCTCGGCCTCCACTCTCTTCCTTACAACTGGGGGCCATTATCCTACTCCTTTTGTGTCTCTGTTATGGGAAAATGGCCCACATCACTACTTGAGAGGAACTCACAATTATAAGGGGTGGCGAGGAGCTAAGTCCCATAGAGAGTAGATTACATGAGCCATCGCAGAGTGTATGAGAGGGGGTTTAATTAGACAGGGCTGGGGAGAGGGCAAGTGACAATACAACATCTACTGTGGCTGCGTTTCGGGGAAGGCGCCTGCTCTGCTCCTGAGCTCAAATAGTTTTGGCAGGACGACTGTAACTCTGGGCAAGACGGATTGAAGGGAAAAAGCCATGTTAGCAGCTCCATTTGCTTCATGAGTGTAGGAATGTTGTTGATTCATACTTTTCTTCCTGTTTGAAGTCTTTATTCCTTTCCTTCCCCCCAAAAATATGATAATTCCAGTGTTTTAGCAGTGGATGCAGCTTATTGATCATAAACGTGTGCAAAAGTGAGGCCTTGATTGTTGATTGCACAAAGACTCATCACCCCTTTTGTATGATTCATGTTGGTATCCATACTTTTGTGTTTCGCCGCACACTGACTGAGTGGACGACTTCTTTTTAAAGCCCAGAATTCTGAAACCCTGCTATTATGGCTTCTGTCCTGCCAAAGCCTCAGTGCATTCTTTAGACTGTAGGTTCTTGCCTATAAGCCTCCAACAAAAACCCTTTTTCCCCCATGCTCACTGTTTGAAACAAAGTAGGCCCAATAATACACCTGCAATGGTATCTCCTTGTTAAATGTGGGAACGGGGATGAGGAGTAATCTCAGAGTTACAACAGGCAGTTAGAAAGTCATCTGAGCCGGGCAGATGTGGAAGCTTCTACTGATGACCCTGTCCGGCACATCTGGCCTCAGTAAAAGCGCAGTCAAGTAATGGCACCTTTTGAAAAGAACAGAGATTACACAGAGGGCTCTGCTTCTCATGAACGATGGCCCACGGAAGTCCTCTCACCTTGGCTGAGGGTGTTAATTATGGTTCCCCGCAGCTGCCATGCTCGCCACTTACAGGGCATGCTGGCACATGTGAGCACACGGGGAATCCATACTCTCAGAGGGGATTATGGGCTAACACACAGTGCAATATGAAGAAAAGGAGGATTACTCTTTTGGGTGCTTTTAATGGGCTAATTAAAGACAGAACATGCTTCAGCATCGAACTAGATCATAGGTGCATTGTGTCTAAACTGCCACAGCATGCAGTTTTTGATTTATCCACCCAGGGGCCTTGGCTAAATCTGGCTTCCAAAGCAACATTTTTGTTTGAATGACAAGCTAGGATTCTGTTTTTGTGCTGCAGGCCTCTAACTGGGCCTGGAATTGGCCATTGAGAAAGCATTTAGGTGGTGTTTCAGAAGCCAAAAGCAGCCTCGTCCCGATGCTCCTCTGCAGATCCCACCCTCCCTTTGGTAATTACAGGGTGCACAGGGGCCTCTCTGACGTACGAAAAGGATTTATTTTAGTGAGTTTCCACAGAGGTTAAAAGAATGCCACAGTGTGAGCGCACGCATGCACTAACACACACCCCTAGGCTCTGTTCTGACAGCATTTATCACCCGCCTGTTGCTGCCCCTCCAACTCCAAAAGCAGTGTGTCCCTAATTGTGTCAGGTATATTTCATGTTTTTGCGTCTGAGTTAGTATGCTGAACATATCCCATCTGTTGTGTGTAGTAGAAGATTTACAGTAAAAGCTGTCGTCAGTTGTAGTTTGTTTGCATTCTGCCTCTGAGAACGTAAAGGTTGAGTCAAACTGAGTGAAGTCACACTCTATCTCTGCTTCCACACACTCAACCTGACTGAAAACAGGCGTTTCTTTCTTAAGTGCACACAGGCGTGACACTGCTTGCTTTCTCTAGCTTAAACTAGGATGTTTTTTTTCCCCTTAAAATCAAAATTCCTCTTTCATTTAAACCCTTGCCAAGAGACAAGGCTTCATTCACAGGCAGAAACTGCTTGAATCTGCTTCTTTAATGTTGAACTTTTCTTTCAGAGGCAGTTTTGTCTTTGCACCAGGAGCTTTTCAGATGGAAAGGAAAAAATGTGATTGTGATATAATCTGAGAAATCTCTTATTAAAGGCGTTAATAGAGTTGCTTTACAGGCTAATCAAATCTCTCCTGACCCCTCTACCTCTGGAGTGAGGCAATAGTACTTGAATGCTGTGTGCTACAGCTGTACTCAGATACATATTTTTATGCCTGCATGGTTGTGGTTGTGCCTCCCTGTGGGTTTTTGGAAATGTGACTGTTTGAGAGAGCCAGTCACGAATAGCTTTTCACTTACTGCGAAGTAATGCAGAATACATTCACTTCAGACGTGAGTCTCACATGTTAAGAGAAGTAATCCTATATATTTAAGAATGTTGTGCTCATTGATCTCACCAAGGGCTCAGCACCTTCTTTCCACAAGCCCAGTTAGTCCTGTTCGAAGCCTTTTTTTTTCAATTGGCTGTAAAAAAAGAAAAGAAAATCTGAACATCCGTCCCCCCCCCACACACACACACACTTTTTTTTTTCTGCAAGCCTCCTAATATGTTCCATATTGTGAGTTTAAATGGGGTGGACTCAGGAAATGCAGTCACACTGCTTTACCTTCCAAGCTTCCAGCTTGAGGTTTGGCTTGCAGTGGTGGTGGTTGTGCGGACTGGGGCTGATTGGGTGGCTGTAGCTGCCGAGGCAGTTAGGCCCAGCCATGTGGACTTTTTTCCTCCTCTGCTCAGGAGCCGAGATGTCCACGTTGCTGATTTTATTTTGTTGTGTTTTTCTCCCTCTGAAGAGCAACATCTTGCTTAGACCGAGTTTTCTTGGCTTCCCCCCTCTTAAAGAACTGCTTAAAGAGATACTTTGATATTTAACAAAAAAGGTTGCAGAGATGCTTGACTCTTTGCGAGGTAAACAAAGAAACAGCCTGAGGTCAGTTAGCTTTACGCTGTATGAGCAAACAAAGGAAAACCACTTGTTTAATTCTTTTACGAAGCATTTCAAATGCACAAAAGCTCAGAAATGAACATAAACAGATGTACTCCTTTGAGTTTGAGTCACATAAGACCTTAGTAAAAATGGCATGACACATTAGAATGTCAAACGGAAGACAACACTTTATCTTACTGCCCAGTAGTTTTTAAAAACAGCGTGAGCATTTCATTAAGCTGATGCCAGAACTTAATCCACCTCCTGCGTTGTTGGACTTGTTGTATCTGAGGGAGTCTGCTGGGCAGTATGAGGCCAGCTCTTATGGAACGTATATCAACTAGAAAAGTGAAGAAGACTGAGGAGGCTCAAATTCCAGCCAAGAGGTCAGGTTTCACATTCCTGGGGCACCCACCACCGCCTGTCTCCACGCTGACATACCTGCTGAGTGCATGAGTGCCAGCAAGGGGCCAGGAATGTGTGTGTGAATGCTTGAGTGTATGTGTGTTCATTCAGA